GTAAATACACAAAATGTCTTGGGTTCCGCTCACGTGATATATATCCAATCAGAGTTTAAATTAATATAACAGATCGATACGGATCAGCCCGACAAAATGGAAAATCTCGTAAAATTAAAAGCTTCGGACACTAACAGCACCTGTTTTCCTAGTAATAATACAATAAAGAAAATTTATATCAGTTCATATATAAACTAGAGCTCAATTTTTTTGAGTTATATACTTACAATCAGTGTTGTCATGGGACACGGACGTGGACAGTGGACAGTCCGCCAATATTTTTTTGTCCCGGGCAATTAAAATTATAATAAGAACAGCCGTGTTAGCCAATCAGGTTGTTCGATAAACCATATGACATGGGACATTGTCCGGGACATGGGACACTGTCCGTGTCCGCGCAATTTTGACGGGACAATGTCCGCGTACAACATTGCTTACAATTAAAGTATGATATCCAGATACGTCCAAGCCAACCTAGAATAAAACACACAAGAATAACGATCACCACTGAATTCCAAAAAATCCAGAGTATCCAGAGAGATAATTCCTTCATATCTTGATGTGTTTGTGTTACTTTTTGTTTAATGCTCTTTGTACGATCTTCTTGACGATAAGCCAATTTCAATGATTCTTCCATCATTTTCTGAAGGGATTCCTCATTAATGGCGTATGGATTCCAAGGGAGGTTTAAAAGAACCTGCTCCAAATTCCAAATGGAAGTCAAAAGGATGGGGATATTGGAACCTTCCGCCCAAAGTCGGGCTCTTTCTACATACCCATCCGAAAGCGAAGTAACAAATATGCCGATCGTATGTTTATCTGGAAATCTACAAAAGTTCGGCTGGATTGATATAATAATAATAATAATGAACAGAAAATATTTACTTGTTCAAAACACCAATAAGCTCCGTAACATATCGTCTTCTAGTATAATTTTTGCATTGAAACACCAATATATATTTTTTATAGGGCCCAAATACGTCAATACCATTATCTTCGAGATAACGTCTATTTAAAATAAAGTAATACTAAGTAATTGCCAATATTATAAAGACTAAAAACTGAATAGTCGGTTCAGTATTCAATCTATATCCTCTATTCATCACAGCCCTATCGGAACCTTTCATTAAATAGAATACTAGTAGAAGGACGTTCACCCTGGTCCTGACTAGGGACTTCTATGATGGCCCGATGTGCTTCCAGTTCTATAGTATTCTACTAACTAGTGACAGCGTAACTTCAAGGATATATAACTAGCAAAACACTTAGTGAGAATAAACACCTAGTCTTGTCAACACCCGGATCACGTCCATCTCAAGATCACGACCACGCACGACAGTTGTTTCATCGATATTTGGCATCGTTACAAGATAGAGAAGAGATTTGGATAACTAAAAAACTTGAAAAAAGAACTTTTAAATACATGTTTCTGCACCCAGAAGTAAACAAATAAAAAAAGACGCAAATAATAATTGAATATTTTTTCCGTGTCACCATCCCAACTTTGTGAAATTGATCGACAAACATACACATGGTTAAAATCCATTTATTGGTTGATCGTAGTCATGACTACTTAATTAGTGATTTACAGTATGTGCAATTATATGATACTAGATAGCCAATTATGTGCGATTATGTGATAACATATGACTGAATTCATATGAATTTTATTTATTTTATTTTTTTTGGTATTAAGATAAGGCCTTGCTCATATCTTTATTAGTAATTTTAGTTGTATATATTAATATACACTAAGATATATTAAGATTGTAAACAACAAAATAAAACTACATGCAAGAATTAAAGCTTAGACAGTTTTATCTGCAACCTAAACTGACTATGGTGGTCAAGGTCACCTAGTTATATGAAATTTATTAAAAAATTCTGTTAAAATATAACATCAATAAAATTTTTAATAATTCTTTAAACAAGTTTTGTCTATTTTTATTTAAAATTAAATTATTAATAAAAAGCTGTATTTAATACTGCAGCTTAAAACAGGTAACCAAATATAATTAAGAGTAATATTTAATAAAAATAGAAGTTGTAAATCTAAATTTAACCAAAACACATCTAATTCTGTCTTCTAAAATTGTAAATTACAATATATTGATCATTTATAAATTAAAGTATTTGATATATTTTTAAACTCTTTAATAGCACACGTATTACTGATTCACATGCCCGCTATATTATCAACACAGTTATCATTCCTATTCTCGAATATCATCTTCAAAACATTGTAGTTAGTCAACCTACCTGCAATAAAATTCTTATTCAGCATATTGGACTTGTTAAACTCAAGGCCAAACTCTGCCTACAATACCTTCTAGTACCCTTTTACATCCTCAAATTTATAATATTAAACACATCTGGGACATTCAACTACAACACCATATCCCTAATCTTCTTAAACGACTTAACAACCCTGACCTGTTAGGCAC